AAAGAAGCCACACAATTAACGTCTGGATCTTTTCAGAACATTTAAGCTGGGAATCGTAAATGGCTATCTTTAAGGTTATGGCATAAAACACTGAACTTTCGTTAATATGAAGTTTTGATGAGAAATCAAACTTTCTGTAATTCGACGACAAGGGAAACAGGTAGGATCTATACAAGGACAACAGAATCTCAAAAGTGTTAACGATACATCAATTTCATCCAAAAGAGATTCGAGGCAGGGCTGGTTTTACAGGCTGAGTGCAACACATTGCTTCCAATGTCGATATCCAGTTGGTGTATATTTATTCGATCAAAGCATTCCAAATTTCCCAGCTATCAAGTCAAGTCTCAAGTGTTTTAGGTGTCTAAATGAAACCTCAGTTCATCAATTTTATGTATTTTTCTTGAAATTGTATGTGAACGTTCAGTTTTTCCAAAAACCAAATGCAGCGTTAATCTACTTCTCTCCCCCACCAGGCTATTTTGGGCATGTTTCGTGTTACTGTTCTAACCCACTAACATGTGGAATGTGCTGTCTGTGTGGGGGAACAGTGACCAATGGTCACCTTGGCTAGGTCAGTGTCGTTTGTGGGACAGTGCAATATACGTCAGGGCATGGAGGAGGTGTTATTTATAGATGGGGGTACGTATGGACTTCCTCAACACTCATCTTACACTCATGAAAGCACTGCTAAACTCGCTCCCGTCTGCTCGTAACGAGTATTTCTAAAATTTCCTGATGGAAATGAGAGTGGCATGAACTCATAGAATTGAGGTGGTTGACTAAAATGGTGACAACTTTTACAACTAGCAGTCAATTTATCCTGAAAACAAAACCCTTGGGCTTTTGTTAAAGGGCATGTTTACACGAAATTGAACCTTTTTGTCTTGCACTTTTTCAGAAAATACTTTTTTTATCATGTAGTTTCATGGCCACAACACTACCGATATCACAAGTAACTAATATTTTTTCTGTTTCTTTTGTATTTTAGAGACTTTTATTCAAGTGATAAATTTCAGCATGAACATCTTTTGCTTTGGGACTAGACAGGAGACCAGTCTAAACCAGTTGGCACCAACAATGAGTATATGTTAAAGCGTTGATATTAACTGATTCAAAACATTCTGTTTTGTTTCACACAAGAAAATAGGTGTTTGTATCGTATACACCTCCCCTTCAAATCAGTTGCTGTGATGATTTGTCAGAGGGGAGTTCTTGATTTTCAAATGGCATCGACTTCTCAAAATCCAGAACCAGTCATCTAGCAATATACAGGCGATATCACAGTGATCATTATGTTTTAAAGATATTACTTAAAATGTTTGAGAACTCTCGATTCTCCTGTATTACTCTAACATATTAACGACCCGTGAAGGTCCGAGTTAGAATATTGGCCTTCAGTAACCCATGTTTGTCTTAAGAGGCGACTAACGGGATCGGGTGTGGTCAGGCTCGCTGACTTGGTTGACACATGCCATCGGTTCCCAATTGCGCAGATCGATGCTCATGCTGTTGATCACTTGATTGTCTGGTCCAGACTCGATTATTTACAAACCGCCGCCATATAGCTGGAATGTTGCTGAATGCGGCGTAAATCTCAACTCACTCACTAACATATTAACTGTAAGAACAGTTAAGAACATGAAAGATTTGGGTGTTCTCAACTTCTTCTAATGAGTATAATTCATCCACCTATCAAAAATGTGCTTTTTAAATCTGATCATGCACTGCCAATTGTCGTCATAATATTCCATTAAATTTTGACCTTGTCCTTTTTTGCAATTTTACAAAATTCTGTTGTGATCCAGTAGTTAAACTTTTCTTCTCCTTCAAATTTCCTGGCGCGACGGTTTCCGTCCCTCGTCGAGCCGTATGACACCAAACTCTGTACGTGACAGGTCCCAGAGCACGTGAGCCGTCCAATCTTTCAGCCTATTGATCTCGGCTGGGTCAGCGTGACATTCACGTGCTGACACGACACATTGCGCCTGTTTGTTCACGAGCGAATGGTCGACATTCGGGTGAAGGAAGCGTTGTCGGACCAGTTTCATGTTCAAACGAATGAAACATAGACACAAACAAATATATTAAAACCGTCGATGCCCTTCTAATGGAGAAACATCTAAGGTGAACTGACTGTAGGAATATTCTGCCAAACATAATAAACACATATACTTAGGTGCAAAATTGAATTATTTGTTTTTCGAAAAACGAGGAAGACTTATTCTTGACTCTAGATTCGATGAATATTCTACAGGGTCCAAACTCAAGCAGGACCTGATCATTTGAAGGTGTTTTGTTTTCGAGACGTCAGTGTTCATTGATGCAAGGGAGATTGTTTCTCTACGCTTATGGAAATGGTTTGTTCTTAATATCACTACGTTTCATGGTTGAAGAGGGACGGTGGTGTAGTCTAATGGTTAAAGCGTTCACTCATCACGCCGAAGACCCGGGTTCGATTCCCCACATGGGTACAATGTGTGAAGCCCATTTCTGGTGTCGCCCGCCGTGATATTGCTGGAATATTGCTAAAAGCGGCGTAAAACCATACTCACTCACTCATGGTTGAAGATTCATGTGGAGAACATTTCCATACTTGATGCATCAGGGACAGACAGGTTCCGGTGTTTTACGGACAATTACGGATTTGCCTTTGCATGTGTTTGTGATGGATGCTACCTGTGTGGCAGGATCCGCTCACCATTACACCAGTGACCTGGTATCGTCATTATTATGCTCATGATACAGTCTGAATCACACAACATACATTTAGCGGAGATGTCTTAAGGCTGCCTTTGTGTTTATATCTCAATGGTCTTCATTATATCGGTAATGTAGTTGTCGTCATCGTCACTCTGTGATTGGCCCATTTCTGGTGTCCCCCGTCGTGATATTGCTGGAATATTGCTAAAAGCGGTGTAAAACCTTATTCACTCACTCACTCTGTGATTGAGGATTGTGACCTTCAAAGGGTCACCGTGAGCCCGGAACGTTTGTAATCACCTCATCACAGACAGATTGTGTTTATCAGCCAAATACATCAATTGTGCTTCGCTTGCAGGTCAATGTTATTTCAGCTTTCATGTGGTCTCTTCTCTGGTGTCTGGACACTGTCGATGACAACAATGTAACTTCACGTGTTTCTTGACAATGACCTGTGAAGTTCGTATGCTAACAATTCAGATCGTGTTTTGGTGCCCGCGACAACAATTTTACATTTTATCTTAAATCCAGCAACCTCGCATTTATTTTGCATTTAACAAATGTTTAGAATCGGAACCGTTCAATGCACAAAACCGTAAGCATAACCGTATATATATACATGTATGTTGTTTTTTTAAAATGTTGTATGTTTCCCATGGAGGTGAGGTGAGGTGAGGTGAGGTGTAATTGGGACGTGTGTGTGTGTGTATGTGTGTGTGCGGCTGCTTGTACTAGCCCAGACTGAAGCTGGTTTTATAGTGCTAGCCTACTGAGATACCATGCCGCAGTGAAGCATGAATACCCCACTCAGACACATTATACTGACTCCGAGCCAACCAGTCCTTGCTGTACCCATTAATGCCGAGCGCCAGGCAGGGAAGTACCATATTTTAACGTCTTTTGGTATGACGCGGTTGATTACACCACGGAGGCGGTCGTTTCACATGGACAGCATGTTAGTGGGATCTTCCTTTGATTCTGTATATTTGTTTGGTCTTCAGTGAGCCATGCCTGTCGTAAGATGCGACTACCGGAATCAGGTGGTGAAGCTCCCTGACTTGGTTGACACATGTCATCGAATCCAAATTGCATAGATTGATGCTCATGCTATTGATCACTGTCATGTCTGGTCTGGTCGATTATATTTATTTTATATTATTAGGATCATCGTACGCCTGACATAGTAGTTAGCACAATATGGTTAGATGTAAAATATTGTCACATTCTACCTTTCAGACACCGTTGTCCTTCTATAATCCAGCATTAACCGGCTGCAAATTTGTCGATGCAATGAAAGGTTTAACTCACATCAACATATTCTATATCAGTGAGGGCATTTGGCATTTGTCACAGGACAGGGCTTACTTGTGAGATGTCCTGGGATTTTCTGCCATTCAAGTAAACATACTTATGCAACTGCACTGTGTCTCTCTTGATAATCAATAACAAATATTTGCTTTGAATTTCTTTCATTTTACGTATTGAGATTAACGGCTGACATATGTTAACTGATCTAATTTGTTTGCCTTTGGAACGTTTGCTCTGATTCTATTCTGTAACTAGTGATCGCGACATGTTTTTTGAGTAAATGTTGGAAATGAGCGCGCCTGGCTGGTTGTAGAGTGTAGGGCGAGTGATGGGCTGAGACAGGGGTTTGTGCTGACACTAACTGTGTACACAACGCCATAGTAGCTATCTCCAAACTCCCGCGCTCCGTGCATTCTCGCCACGGAGTTGTCGCACATGGAGGCTTACTGTTGTGTTCGTCGCTGTTGACGTAGTTGTATCGGAAAGGATATAACCAATCAACGTCACAATAACTGTTGACGTTTTCACTTTGTCACCGACTCTGCCCAATCAATGTTAGCTTAGATGTTGGCGGCGGGACTTGCATCACTACGCCAACCAATGAGAGACGGCGTTATCGGGATTCACGTCACTGCCATGGTAACGTGTGGATTTAAAGTGTCCTGTAACACCTGAGTGTACAGCGAAGTGGACCCGCCGTAGTAAGAACGAAATAAACACAGTTTTACCGACTTCACACAAACAAACAACCCGCCCTTCTGTTTTGGGGCTGGGCTAACGGAACCCGTCATGAAACTCTGGACGCTGATTGGCCAGACTTCTCCCAAATGGAACCGCGTAATAGGAAGTTTTCACCTTAAAACGTGAAATTTAAACACCGTGATAGGGCTACTGGCCATCGCTGTAGACTGTTCCACCTTTATTTACTCCTAATGAACCGCCAGCATTCACTGATGTTTTAAAACTTTGCATTCGTTTTCTCACTACAGAAACCAAAGAACCAAGTGGCTAGTCACATCGCTACGAGTGTCTGTATGTACAATACTGGAGAGAGGTTGCAAAGGGCAATAATTCTAACACTTGGAGTATAATTAGTGGAGACTGCACTCAACCGTGACGGCGTCGTGCCAAGATGAAACTTGGCCAGGTAGGTCTTTTGTCGCACTTAAAATGTTAAGTTTGTAATTCATACCATGTCTTAGTTTAAGTCATTATTCTGTCGACTCTGATCCATACTTGGAATTACATTGCATGTCTATGTGAAACATTTCCCCCGCTGTAAAGATATACGGTTTACAAAATTTCTAAAAGACAACTTTGCACTTATTTGCTTTGATGTATCTTTTTACTTTTTATAAAATACGTTCTCACAACTTAGCATTGATAGATATACTCAACCTTGTGTTTAATGACGTTTAAGTTGAAGTAGTGTCGCTCTGTTGCTGTTCACCCAACGTTTAAAAATTTCATCAATAGCTGATGTTGCATTTGTGTTTGCTATATTTCACAGTTCTGTTTGTGGTCAGTTCACCTGCATGTCGTATATACTTAAAGACAAAGTGGATCGGTACTGACTATATAACTATACACACAGTTGTAAAAACAATACTGTTTTAACATGTACTCCACGATGAACGTTAATTGTATGTATTCAGGTTAACTTTTATAAACGTCATCAATATGTCGTGATATGTGTCAGAATCTCAGAAAACTGACTTCTAATATAAATGAGTATATTTGTTAAATGAATGTCATGTCCGAATCTGCCTATACTGCTCATGGAGATCCAGTCGTTTCTTCACTGGATAGAGACAGGGTTAAGTTTAGTGACTCTAATGTACCTTTACTGCTGAAGCTTGGTATAACAGCAGTCGGGTTGGCACACTGGTTGAAGCGATCGCTTGTCACATCGACGGTATAGGTTTGAATCCACTCGACATTGGTACAACATACACAAACTTTATGAATAAGAACTTCCTTATTACATGAGAAACGTTGCATTTACGAAATACAGAAGTTTTTATCCATAAAGTTTGTCTGTATTGTACTTGCCAACTTCTAAAATGCCACTCAAAGAAGCGACATTGGCACATTTGTGAAATCCATTATCGCGCAGTCATTTCCGATAAACGATGTAAAAGTCATCCTTTACCCTTACAATGAAGACGTATGAAGTTATATATGAGGGAATATCAATGATATATAATTTGATGGAAATACTTGGGGTTTGTAAGTCATGGTCAATTACACATGTATCTTATGATAACTTTACACTTTATTACTCAAAGGAACCACCAACGGTGGTACACGAGTTACATTTTACACATAGTTATATAGGAATTACGACAAGCTGGCATACACAACATTCAGAAATCTTGACAGTTTTTTCAGGACATGTATCTTATTATTCCCAACAAGTTGCTTATATTTTGACATGTTAGGCAATTTATAAAAATAATCACTGATAAGAGAAGAACGTTCATTCGCCAATGCTTTACATTTGTTGAGAATTACACAATGTCCAAAATCTCTCTTCACGAGGAATGTCTGACCAACGACCCTTTTCTCTCGGTAACTTGTGATTACTTGTTCTAAAATATAGTAAATGTTTATAAATGTTATCTGATGCCTAATAAATACTTTTCAAAACATGGTGAATCTTTAATAATGGAATAGTAGAAACCTTTCACATGTGGGATGTTATGGATCTATCAGCTGGTACATAACATTTTATGGCCAAATAGAATAACGACTTTTGCTGAAATAGCTATAATGTCTTTACTTTAATACGTAATAAAATATGTGATAGAATACTAGATGTATCAGTTCAGTTTCAGTAAGTTCCCAATGAAAACATATTTTTATGAAAAGTTGGAAAAAATATTTTTCAGAAAAATATAACTGGAAACGCTGTCCGGAGCAACCCTTTTTATGAACATTTTGTAGGGGTGGGAAAACCTCCCTAAAGTCTCGCGCTACGCACACTCGCACGACCAGTTGTGCCTACACTTCATTACTTTCCTGGGTACGCCCCTGGTATCCTTCACACTTGTGTTATGAAACGTCAGTAAAAATACTCAAACAGGTAGCTTTTTGTTGCGAGGTGTCGGAGAATCATCTATGTTGGCTGTTTCTGTCGCCTCTACCAACACCTCCCTGAACAACGTTGTTTGAACATTCATCCACCATCAATTCATTATTTGCCTAACTTCTTGCCACCATCAGTGTCCATTTGTAACATACAAGCAAGTTGCATGCCCTGGACAATATGGCAACTTTCACGCTTTCTGAGTGAGACCAGCGTCATTTTGTGACAGGAGTGAGAGTGAGTAAAGATCAATTCAGTAAAGCAACTAGAACTGGCATAGTAATGCAGGGCATGCTAACCCTTCCGTGAACCTAATCAATTTCTGTATCAGCATAAAAACACCTACCTGGGCTTGATGGATGACCTGAAACACGTCAACATGTTTTACGTGCTAGTTCTGATGTATTGTTTTGCTCTACCTGTCTCAGAAACTATTGTATGTTCTGGAACTGTGACATAAACACAAAAATACAAAGTCCTATCACCTCCAAGTCTCTGTAATCATGAATTTTGGGTCCCTAGCGTTGTGTAAAGATCCCCCACAAGCAGAAACATGTATCAGGTATTCCATAAACCCTTTATAAGACTAGATGCATATTGTAATGCATAATATACCAGCCTTGTATCACGGTATGAACCAGTATTGTCAAACAGTTTATACAAGTATTGTCTCATGTAATGTATATATTAGTGGTGTCTCAAGGTGTATACCAGTATTAGATCACGGTATGAAGCAGTATTGTCACACAGATTATGCCAGTATTGTCTCGTGTAATGTATATATTAGTGGTGTCTCAAGGTGTATACCAGTATTGCATCACGGTATGAACCAGTATTGTCACACAGATTATGCCAGTATTGTCTCGTGTAATGTATATATTAGTGGTGTCTCAAGGTGTATACCAGTATTGTATCACGGTATGAACCAGTATTGTCAAACAGTTTATACCAGTATTGTCTCATGTAATGTATATATTAGTGGTGTCTCAAGGTGTATACCAGTATTGTATCACGGTATGAACCTGTATTGTCAAACAGTTTATACCAGTATTGTCTCATGTAATGTATATATTAGTGTTGTCTCAAGGTGTATACCAGTAATGTCTCGTATAATGTATATATTAGTGTTGTCTCAAGGTGTATACCAGTATTGTCTCATGTAATGTATATATTAGTGGTGTCTCAAAGTGTATACCAGTATTTTATCACGGTATGAACCAGTATTGTCACAGTTTATGCCAGTCTCATATATATGTCTCGTCACACTTGCGATGCCATACTGTCTTTACTCCAAGCATCAATGTTGATCTGTGAATTAAACATTTATCTTGCCTAGCGAGGTCGTCTGAGTACACTGTTCGTTACAAACAGATAACGGATCTAATTTGGAAAGTATGACGAGGTGTCAATGCAAACCACATTGTCAAGGAGCTTCAATCTGTATGCTTACGGGCTCCATACATTTAAAGGTGTTGACATTTTGGCCCGAGATTCAACTCCTGTGGTCGTATTTTAATGTTGAAATAAATGCTTTGATACCCAAGATGCCCTTGATGAAGAGAGTCGTGACATTTCGCCAGCAGAGATCCCCCTTTAGTAAGTGAATTGCACAACAAAACCGTCACCGGCCTAACACCTGCACTTTAAGATATAAACTAATACCAGCCCATCACGTGATCACTGGATTAAACACCAGTGGTGATACAGGTGTCATAACACCTCTTAGATTGAGCTTAAACTGTCACGATTAACACTGACATTGGTTCTACAGAGCCAGGAGTCTGACCCAACTGTGGAGTTCCTCACTGACCGAGCTAGCTGTAAGATGGCTTTAATGACAAATAATCAACATGGCCTCCGCCAATAGTTACGTTGTGTAAAGTGGGGAATGTGTTTATTTGATCTGGGTTGAGATGGGGCTGAAAAAACTGGCGTTCTTGAAAACAAAAGCATCTTCATGTAGGACAGTTAACAATAACAGTGCTTGGTGGATGTTGTAATGAAAGTAGTTAGATGTTCCTGGGGCGGTGGGGTAGCCTAAGGGTTAAAGCGTTGGCTCGTCACGCCGAAGACCCGGGTTCGAATCCCCACATGGGTACAATGTGTGAAGCCCATTTCTGGTGTCCCCCGCCGTGATGTTGCTAGAATATTGCTAAAAGCGGCGTAAAACCAAACTCACTCAGTCAGTCAGTTAGATGTTCCTAACTGAAGCTGTAGTGAAAGGTATATCCATCCATCCATCCATCCATCCAAGTGAATACATGCCCATTATGCTTGCTACAATAACTTTAAATGCAGACATTTTGCGAATTTTGTAAAACACGACGGCGTATTTACTTATATTTCCACAGACGTAGAAAAGACAAGAGACATATATTGTTATTTCCATACAGGACATTCAAAATTATAACAAAATTCAACTGGTATCATCGCTGACTCTTGTTAATTCTTAAGCACATACCCTAGATATAGCCAGGATCACACATTCGACTCTGATACGCTTCTTATGCATATGGAAAAAGGTATTATTTTCCGAAACGGAAAGGGTTTTGTCGATTTTATTTAGGAAACGGAAAGGATTTCATCTGTTGTCCCAATAACGAAGTTAGTACCTGTATCGTGCAGAATTTTGAGGACTGTAAATGGTAGAATATCCAGCTCATTCACCGAACTCATCTCCTTCAATTCAAACAAAATTACAAATTCAAAACAATGAGTAAGCGTTCAGTGTACCGATCAGACTGACACTACTTTAAAATATGTACACTTGCGTATACAGAAAAAGGCAAATCGCCACGAAGACTGGTCACAAGTTACGACATGTAGAGTTTGATGTACCACGTAATTTGACATTCATAGACTGTTTAACATTTCTGTTCATCGTCAGATATTTGGTTATTCTAAATGCATACAACGAACGAGGATCATAATGAACTGTAATTAGTGGCCCCTTGGTCCTAGCTATAAGCTTAGTTTACCGTATAAGACTTTATATCGCTGATGTACATACGCTGGGTATACGTATAAGACTCAAGACGAGAGAGAGTGTTAATTAGTGAGTTTAGTTTTACGCTGACTCGCTGACTCCCTTAATCAAAGTCACGGGACTGCTCATACAAGTAAATGACACCTCAAGCATATATCGAAGTGAAGGACTTCAGAGTCGATCATCAAGCAGCGCATCATTTTCTGATACTCCAGCTCCATTGAGAGCCAGCCTCATCCCACGGTACAGCCAGCGGGTCCATGATAATCCTTGACAAACTCCTATCAATTAGTTAGACACTCCCGCCAGTGTATCGTGAACAAAAGAGCGAGGCCGAATATAGATGCAGTCTAAATTGAGGCTGGACAACGGATGTGCAATCAAACCTTGATATTTCGAAATCTAGCATCTCGACGTATTGCGCAACGTAATAATCTCGTTTAAGCGCTATCAGTCGATTGTTACGTCATTCCAGCCTCAATCCGCCATCTCCAGTGTGTATAATGCGAAGCACAGTAATATACGTTTATAACGAACTGTGGATTTGCTCCCAACCACATGCTGTATATTTTGGTCGAATTGCGTAAAACGAACTATACGGTTATGACGAAACTATAATTAGTGGTCCGTTCGAGCTCGTTATTACCGTTTTGCTCGTCACGCCGAAGACCCGGGCTCGATTCCCCACATGGTACAATGTGTGAAACCCATTTCTGGTGTCCCCCTCCGTGATATTGCTGGACTATTGTTCAAAGCGGTGTACAACCAAAGTCACTCACTCACTCACTCACTCACTTACTCACTCGGTATTACCGTAGTTTGTTGTACACATATCTCAGGGCCTAGATTTTCGAAGCGCTCTTAGCGCTAAGATAGTCGTAAGTGCAATACACTAACATTAATTTACGACTATCTTAGCGCTAAGAGAGCTTCAAAAATCTAGGCCCTGGACTTTGCATTAACGAGTCTCATTGTACTACAAGTACGGGGTCATCCAAATGTGTTGGCGAGAAGATGAATTACACTGTTTGATATACACGTAAATATTTATCCACAATTTTCGAAACAACGTAATCTCGAAGTCTTTGGTGTCACCCAAACTAGCTCGAGTAATCAGAAATTCGAGATAAGCGGTCATCTATTAATAGACCAATGTATTTTAACCATCATATTGTTTAAAATATCGTTAAACCTAATTCACCTTCTCAGTCGAAAGCCATAGGGATCCCAGGTAAGAATATAGGCCCCAGCAATCTGGGCTCGTAGTAAGAGGTGAATAAATGGATTGAGTGGTCAAACTTGGTCGATTACACGTTATCGTAACTGCGTCGGTCGAAGCCCATGTTGTCAGTCACTGGCTTGCCTTGTCCAGTTTCGATTTATTGACCGCCGTCATATAGGTTGAATATTGCAGAGAGCGGCGTTAAACGAGACAGAATAGGCTGGAAAAAGTTTTGGCATTTAGAGACGACAGACAGAATAAATATACATTGTGGTTTTACTCTGCGGTGAACTCTCGTAAGTGTCCACAGTAACATATACGCTGTAGTGGGTGGGAGGGAGGGGGAGTTCAAATGACGTCAGACAGATTACACCTGTATTTACCCTTCCTCTGTACACGCGCCCTGTTACATATGCGGAAGTAGATGACGCGTGCATTGACACTGTAGCAGGCGTAGGTGTCTTTGCTCCAGTATAATGAACTGGACAAGGGTCATTGCCATTGTAAAATACGAAATAACCTGGACTTTTGGTAGAATGTGTTGTTAAACTATCTACTTATTCCACATTTAGAATGACGTTCTCATAGAGTCACAGTGAGGTGATCCTGGTCCGCTTAAGGCGACATTACAGAGTTGTCATTGTTGGAAGGAATCGAACCCAGGTCTTCGTCTTTCTATTAGGCTAGTCACCGTCGTTTAGCAACGACACCGTAAAATATACCAATTTAAAGTATAAACATCAACGTCATTATTTACCAGTCTCAATTATCCGGCGACAGATTCCATAGGACGAAAAAAAACATTTTAGTGGTGATAGTTGTGTAAATGTGTCACTTACAATGATACACTTGGTGTTCTCGAAAAGGTATGCATATACCGGTAGCACTCGCCATTTCCACAGAACGTGTTTTAATAGATATAATCGGGGTACATCTACACGTATTTGGTACTGATCTTTATGATTCACCCTTTGAGTCCAAGAGCGTTAGTGTCGACATCTGCGAAGACAGTTGTTATTTAGGAAGAGCTAAGGGCGGTGGGGTAGCCTAATGGTTAAGGCGTTTGCTCGTCACGCCGAAGACCCGGGTTCGATTCCCCACATGGGCACATTGTGTGAAGCCCATTTTCTGGTGTCCCCGCCGTTATATTGCTGGAATATTGCTAAAAGCGGCGTCAAACTAAACTCACTCACTCATTAGGAAGAACTAGTTAGATGAAGACAAAATTTCGATAAGTAGCTCTGAAACTGAGCCATTACTTCAGCAATATTTCAGCAACAGTGGGAAATTCCCACATTGTAGGAATGAAGAGAATCGAACCGAGACCTTTACGAGGTGGGAGAACGCCTGCAAGCGTTAGTCTCCAGCTCTGATATTCCAACATCTGGCGCTTTCTGATACTGATTGTTGCCAACGTACTTGAATGGAAATGGTTTATTTTCAGGTGCTGTTGGCATGTGCGTTGTGTTTGGTGGGCGTGGGCTTCTTCACGTCCCTGAAGACCTCCTTCCTGTATCTCTTGGCCTTGAAACAACAGTCTGATGGCAAACAGTGGTACGTCCAGGTCCTGAACAGTCTTTATGTGTGACATGCAAATAAACACACAGAATTAATTCATATTTATGGCTCTGAGGCCACCAGTACAATGACAGTTTTACATAATTACGCGGAGCGCGAGTTGATAGCTCTTTTCATAATCACTTTTACCTTTTCGCCATTAAATGTTACAATTATATATTGAGCTAGTTATCCTTTCCTGTCATTGAACATGAAACATCACATTTATTGGTATAATACTATGCGCGTGAGCATTAATTTCGCACCACTTGAATCCGTACACTTTCAGTATATTTTTGCGATTCAGGTATCATTTACAAATACGATTAACAATATTTTTAGCATAGCTCTGCTACATGCATCGTGCTCTGGTTTCAGGTATGCAGCATTATTTTTCGTCTTGCTTGTCCCTGAGATTGTCACCTTTCTCCGAATCATCTGGGGCAGTTCCTTTGCGGTCAAAGGTCGACTAGCAAGATGGCCTCCGTGCAAAATCATATTTATCGTAAGTCATTATGTGATCGTTAGATGGTATCATTATTAAAACTTTTCTGAGGCCTTTGGCCATAGTTTTGATATTGTATGAAAATACGTACAGAAAAGAATTGGCAATATCCATCAATTCCTTACAAACTTGTTCGTTATAAACGCGACCCGCGAAGATCCGGGGTAGAACAGGTCTTCAGCAACCCAGGCTTGCCACCAAAGGCAGCTATGCTTGTCGTAAGAGGCGACTAACGGGATCGGGTGGTCAGGCCCGCTGACTTGGTTGACACATGTCATCGGTTCCCAATTGAGCAGATCGATGCTCATGCTGTTGATCACTGGATTGTCTGGTCCAGACTCGATTATGTACAGACCGCCGCCATATAGCTGGAATATTGCTGAGTGCGGCGTAAAACTAAACTCACTCAATCACTCACTCACTCTTTATAAACGCAGATTGCTCTATGTCTGCAATGGATTTCCCCAGGGTAGCTAACGTACAACGAGCTTTCCATCAACGTTTAGCCACACGCTGTCATATGACAGATACAACGACCATATGTGTTATAAATGATGGTTGATGGGTAAAATGATCGTAAGACACACGATGCTTTGAGGACGGTGAGTTAGCCTTGTGGTGAAAGTGTTCGTTCGTCATACCAAAAACTCGTATTCGGTTTCCCACATGGGTACAATGTGTACAGCCCATTTCTGGCGTCCTTCGCCGTGATATTGCTGGAATATTGCTAAAAAGGGCGATAACTAAATGCACGCACGCACTCACTTACGTAATGACGCTTTGACTTAGAAATAGTCTGCACCTGCAACAGATGAAAACAACGCTGTATACAATACCAATTATTATTACTGTTGTCGTACAGTGCCTCTTACTGTTTCACAGGGCATGTTCACGACAGTCCTGGAGTCAGCGGCCCTGGCGTTCTTCACCCTGGAGGTCTCCCCCCAGCTCCCAGGCTACCTGGTCCTACCCTTGATGAACGTCCTGCTGTTCCTGCAGGTACTCATCGAGCAGTGGAAGAGATCCACGGTAAGCGTCTTAGTATCTGTCTTCTCATCTGTCTTAGTATCTGTCTTAGTATCTGTCAAATACAGGCTGGCTGGGGTTCTCTGGACAGCGATCGCCCCCGTGGTGTTGTGGTTAGAGCGTCCACCCGGAGAGCGGAAGGTCGCGGGTTCGATCCCCGACCGCGTCATACCAAAAGACGTTAAAATATGGTACTTGTTGGTCCCTGCCTGGCGCTCGGCATTAATGGGTACAACAAGGACTGGTCAGCTCGGAGTCAGTATAATGTGTCTGAGTGGGGTATTCATGCTTCACTGCGGCATGGTACCTCAGTGGGCTAGCACTATAAAACCAGCTTAAGTCTGGGCTAGTACAAGCAGCCGCACATACACATACACACGCATGCCCGTCGTCATATGAGCGAACTATTCTCAAGCACGACGTAAAACCCAATTTCACCTCACCTCATCTCTGGACAGCCTGGGTGTACTGCAAAAAATGCGTTCAGTCGCGTGTTTGAAAGGGTCAATGTGATCGAAATAGAAGCGACAAGAAATCTCTGCTAAGATCAGAGCCAATGGTACAGTTCCGAATATGTTACGAGCATGTGTTTAATAGAAGCTTTTAGAAATGGACCAAAGTGTTCGTTAAGGCAAGTCAGGTTTTCACCAAAAAGACACTGTAACGTATTGTACAAGTGAAAGCAGGGAATTCCATTGGGTATCATTCTTGTCTTCGAGGAGCCAAATTGAAAGTGTCCACCACCATGTCTAGCATTTTGGATAACTTAAGTAATTTTGATGAAAATACTTGCGTGCTAAAAAAACCACTTGGCATAAAAATGTGTCCGAATTACCAAACCTTCCTCTCCAATGTACTCGCTTCTCGCTAAGGGTAAGACGGTGCCACGATTCAAATCTCCTTTAGAAGGGGTTCTAATGTTTGCAATGGAGTCAATACACGCATGGCATGACTGGGAACGTTGTTTGGTGCAGTATCTCCAGAATTGCGAAACACAGCAACTGCACACAAAGATCTCTATATGTAACATCCTTTCCTCTATACCTGTGAAGTCCCAGTAATTACATCCCAGGTCGCTGATGTTGGACCTGGACCGTCATGAATACCGTTATATTTGAAAGAAAGTGTTTCTTGCAAATTGTATTGACGATTTTACGCATTGTGGAGAGGTTAATGTGATATTTGGTATATGCAAAAGAATGAATGGGTTAGAATATGGCCTGACACCGCTCTTGGCAATATTGCCAGCAATTTCAAAGAAAGGGACACGTGGAAGGGTTCACGCCTGGTACCCATGATGGTCCCAACCTAACTATGTCATCGTTGCCCTACGAATATCATGATAAACCATAGGAACTGCGACAGTCGTAGCGCTACGATCGTTTTGTGGAGCGGGTCTCCGGGCCTTCTGTGTGACGAGCGAACTCTTTAACCACAAAGTTAATCCTTCGGCCTTTAAAATATGCAATAAAAATAAAAATTAAGGCAATTAAATAACACTGGAAAAGTAGGTGTACAAGTGGCAGGTTTTCTAATCTTTACTGTACATAAACTGTATGCTGACTTAATCGTTAACCGGATTCCCGTAATCTTTTATATCTTAGGGAATGCAACACCTCAGTTGTAAGTTCAGATGGTTCAGGTAAAAACTAAATCACACAGCAGCGCCAATTTCAAGTATCTCTTTTATTAACAAAAAGCGTTTTTAATTTTTTTAAAAAGAGGTCCGTTAACTCATTAAACAGCTTTATTGTTGATTTAAGTGACTTTAGGGATTAACCGTTACGTGTGTGCAGCATGCGGTGTCGTCTTATTTAGCTAAGTGGTGGATTTCTCCCCCCTCCACTGGCCCGGGGGTGGTGTGTTACTCGCTCAGACAGCCACTCAGCGTGAGACAGCGTTGGTGTTGTCGCCGTGCCACCCGTCGAGGAAGCTCTGTTTACTGACATTGTGCAACGATGTTGAATTTGAGCTTGTACAGCAAGTCTCATTCATCCGGTAGTCAGACAGGCCGTGACTTAACCCACTTACAGTCGATTACAGGTGCTGGGGGCCTTGCTTCACACGCTGTACCCATGACGGGAGGCGAACCCGGGCTTTCGGCGTGACCAGCTAACGCTAGTCCACAGCCGATGTTAACAAACGTTGACATGCATATTAAACTCCAACATCAGATGCCATGTTACGACGTAAATTGTAATAAAAACGTAAATTGTAATAAAAACTGACGCAACTAAAATTATTACAATTTACGTATTGCAATTTACGTCAATTTTGCTGATGTGACTATAAATCTTAATTTACTCACTCATTGTTTGTGATATCAATATCTGCTCATGATATCAATCACTCGGTTATTACGGCTTCTATACAACTGGAATATTGCTGAATTGGGCGTTACCTGACCACGCTAATACACAATAATACTACCGCAGGGCCCAGATAAGGGTCGCATCGGCGTATGTACGGCTAAAAATATATCCAAGATACGGTAGGAAATAATTTAGAAAGCGTAGCAGATACGCACCACAGCAATGGTGTACGGTCTTAGAATCATTTACAGACGTATTTATCTGAAAAAAGTATTGTTTTATTGTTTATTGACCTGTTTACACAAGAGTAGCAATGTTGTGGTGCATATATGAGACAAAACACAAGATTACTGATACTCCATTAAATCCATTCAGTACTCTAAATGTACCTTTATTGTTTTCCAGTACTCCTATACTGAAAAAAGTAAGGAGTACGTACTCCTGATCATGAAATATTATCTGGAGCCCTGTAATACCTCAACGGGTTTCTGCAAAAAAGCATGCTCGGTTCAAAATGCAATCTAACGCGGTTAATTCTAGCTCTGCGCGGAAAAGGAAAACGTTTGTCCCTATTCTACTAAGACAAAAATAAAAAATAAGATATTGAGTGTAGTGACACGGGTCAATTTCGGTTAGTTTGAGTGAGTAAGGTTGATCGGAAACGAAATATCGATAAGATCCTTAAACCAGAGAAAGAATAGTCACAGACATACTCTGAATCCATTCTGTAACCTGTTCTCGTATTTACCATTATTTCAAAGCAACTGCATATAGTAAGTGGTGGTGGTGGTGGTGGAATTGGGTTTAACGTCGTGCTTGAGAATATTTCGCTCATATGACGACGTGCATGCGTGTGTATGTGTATGTGCGGCTGCTTGCACTACCCCAGACTTAAGCTGGTTTTATAGTGCTAGCCCACTGAGATACCATGCCGCAGTGAAGCATGAATACCCCACTCAGACACATTATACTGTCTCCGAGCCGACCAGTCCTTGTTGTACCCATTAATGCCGAGCGCCAGGCAGGGACCAACAAGTACCATGTTTTAACGTCTTTTTGGTATGACTCGGTCGGGGATGGAACCCGAGACCTTCTGCACTCCGGGCGGACGCTCTAACCACTACACCACGGAGGCGGTCTCTGATTAAGTCATTGTAATCGAGTTATTTCCAAACTTGCGGTAAAACACTCCAGGAAGCTCACGCTTGTCTGAATCAACACATCCAGATGCATTTGTGTCAAATCTCTAAAAAGAAGAGAACGTCGGAAATAATTTAAACCACATTCAAACAGTCTCATTCTTCTCTTCTGAATCACAAGGGTCGTTGTAGTTTCTCCACTGACATGGATAACGAGGCCTACTCGAAAAACTAGGATGTTCAGATCAAACCTGTTCTTTGAAGTAAGGGGATAACCATGCTGCAAATATTAGCCCATCTGCCTGTACAGTGTGTACATAGCTTAGCGAAGGCGTGAGAGTCAAGCCAAAGGCAACATGAATTACATGTCTTGCTGATAAATTGCTAAACTTAGCTTAAATGGGGAAGGAATGAGGGTTTCCTGATTTGCCAACTGCTGTGAAGTCCCACCTTTGTAAACCATTTGAAGCCTGACACAAGCATACAACTGGAGACCTTTTGGAACAGACAGCTTTGCAGTTTCCTTTCTCGACAGCCTGGTGGTTTAGTTTCTGAGAACGTGTTGTTTCTTTATTGTGTTCAAAATCGAATGGGTGAAGATAGAATAGCCTCATGATAAACGCGTTCACGTCGTCGCAGTGGATCGTTGTTGATGCTTTCCACCACTTGTATTCTTGACGAGGGGCGGTGGGGTAGCCTAATGGTTAAAGCGTTGGCTCGTCACGCCGAAGACCCGGGTTCGAATCCCCACATGGGCACAATGTGTGAAGCCCATTTCTGGTGTCCCCCGCCGTGATGTTGCTGGAATATTGCTAAAAGCGGCGTAAAACCAAACTCATTCAGTCAGTGTATTCTTGACGAAGGCACCCTTATTTCAATGCAATAAAGATAAGAAAGCCCTTTCAATATCCATAAGAAAAGAGAGTATGTAATGTTTCCCACTAAGTCATTAGCTTTTGTAATCATAGTCATAGAGACGCAAACCTGATGACGACATACGTGTCATCAATGGTTCAAAATGGTTATAACAAACGATCCGCAAACACATAATTGTGTTTGGAACCTACATAGACAGCCTCTGTATATAGAAACATAGCTGAAAACGGCTGATATGTTTGGGAACAATAGGAAGGATATACTTCACGTTGAAAAGCACATGTTGCAAATATATTTGTGACATCTGTAATTCACTGAAGTGTTGATATGATTACGACAAATCGACTCTGCTTTTTAAATTATGTCGCATGTGTTGTGATGTCAAAATGTACATGGTGTTTTCTTTATCAGTTTGCATGAAATGGAGGCGATGGAGTGCGAAAGAACAACAAGCTGTATGGCATTATTATATAACCGTTACGTTTTCAAAATCAATCATAAAAATAAACAGACGTTTGATTTTCATGCTAATAGTAATCATTGCACATTTATTTCAGACACGAAACTTCCTGCCAAACCACAACGCGCCGTCACCATCTTTCGTGTCGCGAGTCCTGCACAGTGTGGCGGCCATTTTCGGAATCAGCATATTCATCCTGTCAGCCTGCCTCCTGATCATCCTTGACATAACGGAAATGCCAAGAGTTGTCGCCCTTATCGCAGCAGTTCTCGCCCTTTCTGTAGTGTGGAGCCAGCCAATCAAAGTTTATATATTTCAAGCAGAATGCCCGTCGGAACCCGTCCGATACAACATCTCTCTTCTCCTGTCCTTTGTAAGAATCGTATCCCTGGGAATATTCTCGATGGCTGTGATTCCTATGGGCGGTAAAGTCGATATATATGATTCACCAAAGTTCCTATGGGATGGGATAACATCGCTGGGTGAGAGCCGTGTCTTAATGTCCGTCCTTGCAGTTAACTGCTGTGCAGGCCTGCTGACGTATGCCTTGACCCGAATCTCCGCCTACTATACCACGACATGGTCCGGTATTCTCATCCCATCCATCTTGTCCACAACAATTGCATCAGTCATTTACATTCTGAACTGTTTCGATGGTATCTACCTCACGTTGAGTGTGGATGTGTGTCCAATGTCAGAGGAAAGTTTGATCGTTGCTGGATTTGTCATCCTATTATGGCTTCTTCCTATGCTTATCATGAGAAGGAACTACTTTATACCAGCTGATACTTTCTTCAAACCAGAACACGAGAATTTCATCACCTTTGGCTACAGTGCTGTGTTCTTCGACCAACACTCTCTTCTAAACTATTATCCGTGTCCTTTGATGTTCCGCGAGACAGGATTGAACGGAAACGGAAGAAGCCGGGTGTTCATGTGTACAACTATGTACAGAGAGGCTGATTATGAGATGGAACAACTGCTAAAAAGTCTTGCCAAAATATCAAAATCTCAACGCCTTAAAAAGAAGAAAATATACATAGAAGCCCACATATTCCTCGATAATGGCGCTGACGGATTAACACTGAAAGAATTCGCTCTTCAACTTATGGCTTTGGTACAGAACTGCCTGGCTGTCGGTCGGTCAGATGGAAGCATACACAAAAACTCCTTACGGTCTGCAATCTCATGCGTCCTTCCCGGTGGTATGCCATTGTTTGTTCATCTCAAAGATCCTACATTTGTTAAGGCCAAGAAACGCTGGAGTCAAGTGATGTACATGAATTATATCATGGATTACCGTATCAAGATGACAACTCAGATCGCTGACATACAGCATCAGATCAAGCTGAAGAAGGAGGTAGGACCTACGAAGTACACGCAGATGATCATGCAGATCAGGTCCCTTCTTGAAAACCTCAAAAGGATCAAGATGAGGAACAAGAGAAGAGATCGATACACAGTAAGTGTGGTTCGGCATACAGTTCCCGATCAAGGGATTGAAACTGGAGATGACATGTCTGGAGACCTCCAGTCAAAGATACCAGGTGAAGGCTGCAGACTATAGTAATGGAAGATCTACCTACCCTCCTTCTACAAAGCAACAGCTACGCCAATTTGGTCTCTGCTGAATATCCTTTGGGAAGACCACGCCAATTTATATGTCTGAAACTTCTTCTCAAACTGGAAGCCAGAGCAGTGGGTGATGATGGGAGACCCAGCACAGTCTTTTCCTTCTGCTTCCTACACGAGTTTTATATCAACTGATTTTTTTCTGTTTCTAAAGTCAACCCTGCTTATATCCCCGATGAAAACGAGTTGCTGCCACCGAAATGGCTGCCGGAATTTACATCGGACTCAGCCTCACTAGTCATGCGCCTAGTCTGTCCAGACATCAGGGCTCAGCGAGGGATCTCAATATGCTGGAGTTTGCCTCTGATGAGAAGATAGCCACAATATCTAAGGATAACACAGAGTTGGATCTGTCCCAGTTAACACCGACATACGACGACAGGACGTATATCCTGGCGACAGATGCTGATATGCAGTTTAATGACATGAGCGTTCTTGACCTGGTCGAAACCTGCAACAGCGATCTTCGGCTAGGAGCTGCTTGCGGCCGGACGCATCCTATGGGGAAGAAGAAACACCCAATCGTCTGGTTCCAGATGTTTGAATATGCTAAAGGTTAGTTTTTGCTCTCGTGGTATGTTGGCCTACACAGTATAGATCCTTCATCATTGTGTTCCTGTAATGTCATGCATGTATCTTGTATTTAATGACACATCCGAAAATCATCCAGTCACTATCTTAATACAAATCAAAAGTAGTAACTCGCAGTATTTCTCCTTTGCAATGGCACATTCCTTTGAAATGATTTTTATGAACCAAACCACTATTGAAATTAGTTTGTTGAACTGACAGTAATGAGACTAGAAGAGTTCGAATTACTACTTTTGCATTTGTTTAGAATAGCTTCACAGGGACCTTTTGAATCAGCTAAATGGTGGCCTAGTAGTCTCGTGTTATTTGTAGGATGATGTTGACCATTTCTCTGATGGGAAACAGAAATGTTACCAAAACACCAGCTAAATTGGCTTGCACACAAAGAAGTAATAATATTTATGAGTTAAAAATGAATGTAACAAAAATGATTTGTTAGAGATTATTGGACCAATCTTGTAATAACCCTAGAATGCCATTACAGTGACACTAATTTCGAATTAGCTCACCTGATATAACATGCAAGTGATATTTTGACGTCACTATATCCGTCGTGTTCAGGAACCGATTGACAATGTTCATACAGCACTGGGATTCTTAGACTCTTTACCAGGTAATTGGACCCGTGAACGTCAGGGTCAGAATTTGTATTTTGTAACCCATGCTTGTCGTAAGAGGCGACTAACGTGATCGGGTGGTCAGACTCGCTAACTTGGTTTACACATCTTATTATTCCAATTGCATACATCGATGCTTATGCTGTTGATCACCAGATTGTCTGTTCCAGACGCGATAATTTTACAGACCGCCGCTCTATAGCTGGAATACTGCTGGAGTGCGGCGTAAAACCAAACTCTTCACTCACTTCCGGGTAATGGTAATTAATTTGTTTCTATCCCAGCTACCAATATGCACCAACATCGTTTGGTCGTTAGGGGCGGTTGGGTAGTCTAGTGGTTAAAGCGTTGGCCCGTCACGCCGAAGACCGACCCGGGTTCGAATCCCACATGGGTACAATGTGTGAAGCCCATTTCTGGTGCGTGTCCCCGCCGTGATGTTGCTGGAATATTGCTAAAAGCGACGTAAAGCCAACCTCAGTCAGTCGTTTGGTCGTGGCCACTCGAAATTTGATGTAACCTCTGCATAATCATTGCCACTAATTGGATGTATAACATTTCCGTAATGTGTAAAAGCTGATATCTATTTGTTTATTCTGCAGACTTTGGCTGATTAAGAGTGCCAGAATATCATTGGATCTGTGATGTGTTGCCTCGGCTAGCTTCAGCAGTTTGTACAAGAGTGAAGGCCCTAGAAGGTGTTACCTCTACTCCGAGCCTACATTCAAACCTGGGATGTCTTCACTAAGGACACAGGTACGCCACCCTATGCTCTTGACATGTGGGGATACATTTGATCTCATTCATAGTGTCACAGCAATGCCGATGTTAGATGCTTTTCCCCAATCAAAACCTTTACCAAAACGTTGCAAAATACAATGAAGACGTTTAAAATGCACACGTCGGCTACCTTCAATGATTTTAGGACCGCCTCCGTGGTGTAGTGGTTAGAAGCGTCCATCGGGAGAGCGGAAGGTCATGAGTTCGATCCCCGACCGCGTCATACCAAAGACGTTAAAATATGGTACTTGTTGGTCCCTGCCTGGCGCTCAGCATTAATGGGTACAACAAGGACTGGTCTGTGCTCGGAGTATTTATGCTTCCTGCGGCATGTGTGGTATCTCCAGTGGGCTAGCACTATAAAACCAGCAGAAGTCTTGGCTGGTACAAGCAGCCGCACATACACACGTACGCATGCACGTCGTCATATGAGCAGAGAATATTCTCAAGCACGACGTTAAACCCAATTTCACCAGGTTATCATTCATACTGCCAGCGTATCATTCGTTTTGGAGGAGAACATTCACACTATCGTTCAGATTTATCATCATCCATTCAAACTGCGTAATTGAATAGGAGTGGTAAGACTGAAAGATACTTTTAACTAGGCTGACTATTGAGGGGGAAAAAACTATTACGATAGCGATAGTCTATTGCAACATACCATTGCGATAGCGATAGTCTCTTGCAACATACTATTGCGATAGCGATAGTCGATTGCAACATACCATTGCGATAGCGATAGTCTATTGCAACATACCATTGCGATAGCGATAGTCTATTGCAACATACCATTGCGATAGTGATAGTCTATTGCAACATACCATTGCGATAGCGATGGTCTATTGCAACATACCGTGCGATAGCGATGGTCTATTGCAACATACCGATGCGATAGCGATAGTCTATTGCAACATACCGTGCGATAGCGATAGTCTATTGCAACATACCATTGCGATAGTGATAGTCTATTGCAACATACCATTGCGATAGCGATAGTCGATTGCAACATACCATGCGATAGCGATAGTCTATTGCAACATACCATTACGATAGCGATAGTCTATTGCAACATACCATTACGATAGCGATAGTCTATTGCAACATACCATTACGATAGCGATAGTCTATTGCAACATACCATTGCGATAGCGATAGTGATAGTCTATTGCAACATACCATTACGATAGCGATAGTCTATTGCAACATACCATTGCGATAGCGATAGTCTATTGCAACATACCATTGCGATAGTGATGGTCTATTGTGACCAGCTATTGAAATACTATTGCAATTGTGTTTTTCTCCTTGAATTGTCTCATTTGAAGTCATTTCTCCAAATGAATGTATAGTTTATATTGAATAAAAATAGAAGTTGAAGTAGTTTCAGACTCTTTGAATAACTGACAAGAAACTTAAAACCCAGATCAATAAACAGTGAAACAAACTCAATGAAGCTGCAAATCTGCCCAAACATCCTGTATTTTCGCTGTGAAGGTTTATCAACGGAAGTCAATTACTAAACAATCGATAGTCACACATACTATCGATGCATCGATAGGTTTTCGTTTCTACCATCGATTAATAGCTATCGGAGACTCAACAATGGCAATCCATCGATAGTTCGATGCATCGTTACAGCCCTACTTTTAACCTTATCCAAACAACCATAATAAACTCATATTTCCTCATTAAACTTATCAAGAAGCATCAATCTTCATTGCTGAAGCTTACAGGGGGAAGATAATACCTTTTCAAGATTCTTGATTTTTACAATAATCATTAATTTCAAAGACATACGACATGATATATCGTGTTCATAATTTTTAAACCCTGATTTATCGTTTGGGTGCAAACTTATGTGTGTCAATGAATAGGAAACATATCTACTCTGCTAAGTTACTCCTATTACTTACATTACTTGTAACGTACCGACTAAAGAACGCCTTCTCATCAAATTCGGGCGAGGATCACGATGGATGTGTACATTGATGATGTTACGGTGGCTGGAAGCTCCAGTATTCCAACTACCGCCTACAACGGCACCTACTGCCCAGATACTGTGGAGGAGTTCATCAGAGCAAGAAGACAACTGGATTCTCTCGAGTTTTCTCAACTTTCGCTGATGGTGTTCCGCAATCTTCCGCAACTAATCCGCAGTAATGGGTGCTTCTCCATCATCTATGCAATCTACTTACTCCAGTTGTTGTTCTTCATCGTGTTTCTCTCTCCTGTTAGGTACATCCATTCTCATTGAAGGGGCGGTGGGGTAGCTTAGTGATTAAGGTGTTCGCTCGATGTCGCCGAAGATTAGGTTTAAGTGCATTTCTGTAGGTTCCTTGTATGCTTCGTAGAGATGGCGCTGTAAATATGCACGCAAAGTCAGCCTTGTCCAATAGCCATGGAGCA